ATTGGGGGGGGGGGAGGAGAAAGAGAGAGAGAGAGAAAAAAAATGAAAAAATATATTTTAGCTTATGAAAGTTCCTTATCTTCGTAACGTTGGTAATCTCTTAGTAAGTAACAAATTTCAGCTTTGATCCTGATGAAGGAACTTTGACTAATGTTGGATTGTTGGGCTCGCCGGAAAACACAGGCTTTTCACCTGGGTATTTTTTTCGGCAGAAACCCTGCTGTATCCGATGTATAACTTTTATACTGTGTAACGGTAAATCTTCTGTCATTTAGAATGCCATCACCTCCAGCATCTACCGTTGGTTCGACGCAGGTCGTACCGTCAAGCGCTGCCTCAGATACCTCTGACAATGGTTTGACATCGAAAAAATCAACAACACGTCGTAATGCATGGGGTAATATGTCGTATGCAGATCTCATAACGCAAGCTATCATCAGCTCACCGGAAAAGCGTCTTACTTTATCACAGGGTATGAAAAATTCCAAATCTGTTTTATCATTAGGATGCTTCTGTTGACATGTTGGTTTGAAGAAAAAATTGTTTATGAAAGAAAGCCTATTATTCAGTTTACGAGTGGATGGTGCAAAATGTTCCTTATTTTCGGGATAAGGGAGACTCGAATAGCTCGGCCGGTTGGAAGGTAGGTTTTAGTTCAATCATTTATTAATTATTTTTCTCTTTTCTTTTTATTTTATGACGTTTCGGCAGATGTGTAACATTTGCAGTCGATTAGTTTCTCCTTTCTTTGAAACTATTTCTTTATGCTTGTTGACCGCAGAATTGTCGCAGCTTTTTAGACTTTTTTGTTTTTGTTATCGCTTTGGAGATTTGAGAATTGACGTAGATGAGTTTTTCGGCCGAGTACTACTGAGCATGGCGATGAATTTTAGTTGAAATGAAGTCTTGTGGGACAAAAATTGTGAGGTTGCCTAAAATAAATAAGTGAAACCCTCCTAAGCGAGGTTTTATTTATTTATTGTAGAAACTTGCCTAAAAAAATCCAGTTATTTCAGCACAGTAAAACCGAGAAAATAATTTTTGAGGACGAAAATAATGTCATTTAAAAGAAAAAGAAAAATGGTATATTTTCAGTCGCATTGATATGTGCACGTATTCACTACTGCCTAAAGTGTGATTCCGGTGAAACACACGAATAGCCTGTAAATAATAGTAGACTTCAGTGTTATCACCAGATACTGATTATTAAATTTATTCTTGGCTAAAGCCACACGACTTTTTCTGGATTATCATGTAATGCAGAATAACTCGGCCCTACGTTGATTATCAGTTGTAGTTCTATCTTCTAAAGTTTTTTGACTGAGGTACCCTACCTTATATAAATTGTTTACAGTACAGGGGAGTAAGGGATTTTCCACTTTTTTTTAGTTATCTTTTCTTTCGTCCGTGCCACTAGTAATCTAGCGTTTTTATTGTCCCTTTTGAAACACCGTCGTTGTATGTGTTTACTGATCATTTGACACGACTCACTTTTTCTTCTATCGATAGGCCCTTCCAGGTTGAAACTCTGCTAATTATCTTTAAAACTGTTTGTGAAGTCAGCTTATTGACATTTAAAAGATTAAACTGCTGTATGGGGACCGTTGATACAGTTGAACTGTGAAGTATTTTTTGGAATAAGGAGAAACGTCTGCTTGGATATGGACAACTTTAATGATCTGCCTATTGGCCTTCAGTGCAAGTTGGATGATAGTGATGATGACAAAGACGGCGACGACGGCGACGGCGATGACGATGATAATAATGTTCATGATGGTCGATGGTTTTTACGGAGGTCGGTTTAGCGAGTAGACTTGTGTCCTGCCGTGACCCTTAACCTTATCGATCTGTTCCTTCTGCCTTTCATCGTCGCAGGCAGCACCAAATAAACCCTCTCTGCTTTCTCCCTCTCCCTCTGTCTCCCTCTTTCTCTCTGTGTTCGCAGTGAGCATACCAGACGTTCGCTCGGCATTTCTTAGGTTGGTGTTCTGCTCACCGCGGGGTTTCCAATCAGCCTTTTTCATTGATTACAAAATCTTTTTCCGTTTACTACCATCGTGTTTCGCAAGAATTTTTTCTATCTATATAATTTTTTCGTTTTCTTATTTGTCTTTCGCTGACAAAAAATCTGTTTTTCCTTTACTTTTTCTCTTTTCTTTTCGTTAAATTCTTCTAATATATTTGTTAGTTTGTTTAATCGTCGTTTTCTCTGTGAAACGAATAGTGAATTGCAACATATAGGTTTTCTTATTTGTTGTTTACCATCGCGCAATTAAATGCTATCTCTATTTGGACAGTACGTATACGTTCAATAATGGCAAATTAGGATAACCGCTGGTCATTCTTGAACTGCTGCGGCTACTGCTGCCTGCAGTTTTGCGCCACCGTAGTTGTATATGCCTCCAGGAAACTGAAGAGTTTTCTTCCAACTTCCACTTTCATTGTTGATACTGGTTGCTGTCTTTTTTTTCTTTGCTTTTTGTTTGTGCGATTAACACGT